GTCTCTGACCAGCTCTCCAAGCCATATTGTGCTCCGTTTGACCTTCATGCACTGAGATCCAGACCTCACTTTTATTTTCTGTGTATGTCCATCTGCTTAGCACCATAACAGAACAACCAACACAAACTTTTCCAAGAACTTTGCTGTGGTTTGCATTTATCATGGCAACTCAAATATCACCGTGTAACATAAAGTGGGCTCACATATGCAGAATTATGCTATGCTATGTGAGGTTTTGGCAGTTTTCTGGCTTTGCTCTTTTCTAGTATTTAAACAGGTAGGGGCTTGCTACTAGTTAGGCACGCAGCTTGTGGCATGCATGGCTCACCCACCTGTGAATAAAGGCATGTCCAGCATCCCCATGGCTCTGAGCATTTTCTTCCATCTACTGAAGGCAAAAGTAGATCTGTCTGGCCTTGATCACTTGCTACACACCATTAATAAAGATTCCCACAAGAGGTAATACTTACAGTCAACGTGTGCATCAGCTAATGGCAGGCAACTCCAGTGGGGGCAACAGCACCAGACACCAATTCCTCCAGCCAATGACTGCTGGCCTTTTGGCCCAGATGACCCTTCCATAAGCACAGGAGCCAGCCCACATGCACAAAAACACTTACCACTTACTTTCAACCCTGACTAGGAGGTGGAAAACCAGATTTGGACTTCGCTCTCTCCCACTTATGGGATGTTTACTTTTAACTCTGAAAAAATCCTTAAGACATCTCTGAACATTATATATATTTTTTCACCTGTAAAACATGTTGCAATTTAGGTACACTGAAGTGGATCTTATCGTTACAGAACAGACGAGGGGGTACGATATAATATTACTGAAAGGACACCCACCCCCCACTAGGTTCCCTGTTCCCACTGCCAGAGGTAAGACGTCTCTCAATGCAAGAGATTTGTGAAAAGGAAAGGAAATGTTTATTTAAAGCTACACAGACTTGAAGTAGTGACCCAAGTCTTCATTAAAATATTAAAGTCTTGTAGGATGCCCACAGACGCACACAGTCCTTCCTTCTCCCTCTGCCCTAATCTGGGTACTGTATGTCGGGAAAAGAAGCAGAAGTCTGTGATGCAGGCCCTTGGCACCATCAGCTGTGTCACTGCCATGATCTCCGGTTAATCCAAAGCCATGTGGCACCTTCTCTTGGCCCACCAGCAAGAGTCCTTTCACCCCTTTTCTTCCAGGCAAAGTCTCTTCTGCTTCCTAAACCATGTGGCAAAAGGGAGCACCCCAAAACCACGCGGTCCTCACGCTCACCAAAGCTGCGGGGGTCCCCATTCTGCCAAAGCCTCATGATTCTCTCCCCACATGGCTGCTGAGTCTGGGTTTAAATCCCCCCCTAACCTTCTTCTGTACCTCCATTTCCTACTCCTCCTACAATCAGTTACACCTGCCAGCACTCCCCTATCCATCCAGCTTTACTGGGCTGCCATAGTGAGTCTGGGCAGGTGTAGGCCCATGGTGTGGAGCCAATCATCTCCAAGCTCTCACACAGGTGCTGTAACCAGGGGGAGTGGCCTCCCAGTTACATCTTGGATGGAAGTCACTTCCCCCTGGCTCAAAGCATGGCCACAGCCATTTAATGCATCCGTGGAACCAGTTATAGGTTATAGATATGTTAAATGACCATGCCAGAGTTTAGCTGCAAAGCTGTTGCTGTACAAAATGGCTCTGCGTGTTCCTGCTCCATGTGTCCCTTCCCCCTACTCACACCTGTTGTGGGGGAGGAGGGAGGGCATCCTATATGTCTTTCTAATATTTCCTGGACACCTTGGCTTCTGGACCCCATTCCAAGTCCCTATTTGGGGTCCCCCTCTTGGCTGCACCCTGTTACATTATGAGCTCCCACTTTCTGGATCTTTCTGAATGTTCAAAAACATATCATTAACTTATAAACATGGCACTTTACAAAAAAAATCCCCTCTTAGTTTTCAGTGTTTGCAAAGCTCTGATTTCTGTGACACCCATTCTTCAGTTTCCAACCTTTTTGAAAACTCCTTTCAGGTTTTTTGGGTCTTCCATTCTAAGTCACTTACTTCCTCCTCGGTTCTTATACATCACTGTAGACAAGTTAGCTTCTATTTCTTATCATTTTAAGTCTCACATAAAAATTACAGACAATGTTGTTTAGTCACAAGATATGGGACTTTTATGTCAGACCAATGTAAGTTTAAAGCTAGATTGGAATCCTATTTACCAGACCATTGGCAAAGAATGTTTCAACGATTAGTATTTTTTAAACATTTTATTTTATTTTTGATTTTAGGGAGGGGGAAGGGAGGGAGAAAGAGAGGGTGAGAAACACTGATGTGAGAGAGAAACATGGATTGGTTGCCTTCTGAATGCACCCAAGGGAAATGAACTACAACCCAGCCATGTGCCCTGACTGGGAATCAAACTCACAACTTGTTGGTTCGTAGGATGATGCCCAACCCACTGAGCCACAGCAGCTGGGTCTCAACCATTAGTTTTGGATGAGATTCATTAGCTCCATTTTATAAATAGAGAAAACAGGTTTGGAGATGGCATCTCATCAAAGATTGAATCTTTCCACATCACTCTACAGATTAATTCCTGAGCTGGTTGGTGCTCAGTATATGTAGGAGACACAATTGTTTCCTTTTAAATAACCCATCCAGTGGGGGGGGGGTGGTTTAAATTGCATGGATTAAATACTAGGATTGGGTCAAAAATACACGGACTAACGTATCTTTAATACCAAGGGTATATTCATGTAAAACAGTGTACCATGCAACATACAAATGTGTGTTGACTAAAAAGAAAATAATAAAAGTCAAAGTCTACTGATGATAGAATCTCAATAGTCTTCACTAAAAGAGAACCACGATTGCACAGACAAATATATGCTACACTGCTCAACTGAGTCACTTAGCAAAGAAACTCTGTACAACCAATAAAATGGTACTGTAATTTAGGAAAATAAAACTGTTGAAAACTACTCCCTGAAAAGTACATTCTATAATTATTTCTTCCACAACAACACAAGAAAATAAAAACAGCTAAGTCCAGTTTCACAATGTCATATACTTCATTCTAATCCTGGGTATTATAAGCTATTATTTTGTTCTCAAAGAAAACCCTTCACCCTCAGTCCAAGTTCTTTCAAATTCAAGGTTAGAGTCAGAACACAAAAAGCCACTGTTCCAGGTTTGGGGCTGTGTTTGGGATTGTGAGACAGGAAACTACACATATAAATTAATCCCTGGTAACTCAATTGGATATATGTGTCTATATAAAGAAAGATGAGTGTATGCGCATATATATGTTTTTTTTAGTGTTGATATTCCTGTTTAAATTGTGCATTTATATGGCTTTTATAGTGATGCTCCCTGTCACCTTATCTTTTTGCCTGACAAAAATGGGATTTCAGTCATGCTCAGCCTTTCCTACAGAGCCAGTGATGGGATTTTTTGAAATCGTATTACTGGTTGCACTGCCCTGATCTCAGATGGAACTTTCAATCAAAAAGGCAATCAGAAGGTTATACATTTGTGAGATTCCCTGCAAAGCCAGTGATCGCATAATACAACTTGTTGGAAGGGCCTACTTGCCTCCAGTCCTTATGTGGCTATAAAGAGTAATTGGCTACTTAGCTCTCAGCACCCGCGTTTCCTTCTCCAAAATACGGCGTTGCTCAGGACGCTATTGAGACTCAGTGTGAAATCTGGCTGCTCCTAGGAGACTTCTAAGTCTCACGCAGAGACTTGCCTTACTTTAAGCATCTGATTAAACAAACTCTCCCAAAGACACGCCGGGCTCTTTCCAAGCATGCTCGCTTCACTGGTGAGGCCAGCGAATCGAAGTTTCCTTTTATTTTGTACACACGCAAACACCCACACATTCCTTTCTAAAACGTTTTCATTGTCAAGTTCATATCCTAGAAATCACAAGTCTGGAGAGGAAGATGAACACTTAAATTTAATTTCTAGCATAATTGGACTATGCTTTATGAATTATTTTTAATCTTCAATAACTCTACTCATCAAAGATTATTATAAAGAATGGGCTCTTAATATTGTAGCGTATACATATATGGATGTTTAAAAGACACTTTGGTAATTTGATTTGACCTGTTAGTAGACAGGGCGGAGGCTGGATTGATTCCATGCACTGTCCGATCACCTCCCAGACAGGAGCCCTAGACTGTGACGTAAGCAGAGGGAGATGATTTGGTTTCACTTGGCTGCAAATCAGTGGTTCTTCTGCACTGGTGGAAAACCCCTGGGCAGGGATAAGATTCAATAGTGGAAAATGACTGATGGGTGGGACATACAGTCATTAATGTGTCTGTAGGTCTTTGCTTAGTCTTTTGGGGCAGTCACTTTGACCTCCAATCACCATAATCATGTTCTTCTCAGGCAGGTGGGGAGGGGAACTGTCACCTGTGTCTGACCCATGAAGACTTTTCTAACCGGCGATCCTTCACTCAGAGCCACCTCGCTGGCTGGCGGAGACTCGTCAGGTCCGGAATGCTGTCTAAGGACCTCTTGCCAGATTCTGCTTTCTAATCCCTTTGTTTTTATATCTTCTAGCTTTTTACATTTTATTTCCCCATCTGAAAACTTTCTCTGTTCTCTCCTGCTTCTTCCCTCTTTTACTTATTGCTCCTAACTCTGATCCAACTGTCTAATTCCAGGAAAACATGGTGATCATATTGTCCCAGCTGGACTAACCTTGGCCTACACCATGTCCCTTTAATGTCCTTGTTGGTATCCTGCTGTGTGGTCATTGTCAAGCCATTTCACTTCCCTGGTTCTTTGGCTGAAAGACTCTCACAAATAAAGGTGAGGCCTGGAATGAGTTAGTTGAATGTTTTACAATCCTCTTTAGACTGGAAGACTGCAGGGGTAGAGTCGTCACCTGATCGGGGAAAAGAAAAGTAAAGACAACAAAGATATTTATAAAAATATATTTCACAAAGTAGGAAACAATACAGGAGTTTCTCTGAATACAATACATGGAGTAAATAAACAATATTGCATTAAAGCAAAGTAGAAAATTAAAATGATCTGCATGTAGTACTTCAGTTTCGTCATACATTTCCTACTCCTAAGGTTTGCATTACAAACTGAATATGCTCATATCATCTAGGGCTGTCCTCTCTCGGAGGCTAAGATGTCCTGTGTATCACCATGAAGATCGGGGAGAGAGAACTGCTAAAAACCGAAGCGGTAAAATTATGTACAAATCAGTTCCTGCTCTCAAACGTTGGGGGACAACTTGAAGTGTGTTTATTGGGCAGGGCATCGTGTAGGTATCTAAAAGTCTAGAGTTTAAATATTCACAGGAATCCATATACTTTCGGATGTTTGTGCTTGTAGTAAAAACACCAAATACTAGGATTATGAACAAAATAGAAAACAGTCCAAAAGTTTCTCTGGGAAAATGCTGTTCCTGCCATCACCAGTCACATGTGACACTTTTCTACGCTAAAGAGACTATTCGTTCCCCTTTTGATAATATTGCCTGCCATACTCATCTCATCAAAATGTACATGTATTAAACATTCATTGTGTATATATATATATATTTATATTTATATAAAACAATCTAAAGGATTATTAATGGATATAACTTAGCTTTTTTTCCCATATAGTCCCTTACTCTATAGATTACCGACCTTAATAAATAAAAGCATTAATGGACATCAATAAAATATTTATTTTCGAGGATTAAACAAATAAAACCATCTGTCTCAGATGTCGTCCACTGCGTGACACAGTTTATCTTTGTGTTCTGGTGGAAGAAGGTGAGGTGGAGGGAAGGAGTGAGTAATCCTGCTTCCAAAAAACAAGCCTGTTCAATGGGATATCTCTCCTCCCACCACGGAGTTGGCAGTCCCCACCGTGGAATGGATTACGAACATGTGAATATTTTAAGGCTCGACACAATGCTTAAAGATGCTATTCAGTCTCTGACACGTGGGGCCAACAATTATGTACAATGTGTGGTCACCGTACCGTGTAATCTAGGAGGCCTTCCCAAACTCCCAAAAGTCAGAATGTACAGCCGACCAAGTATTGCTTTATCATGTGTGGCGGGATCCTTATTAGTGAAGGGGAAAAAAACCATTCACATATATAAAAATCCTTGCAGAAGACACGTATCAGCAGCAAATTCCTCGCAAGTCCGTTTTTTTTTTTCCTAAGAAAGCACCTTTTAATTTTGATTATTTTTTCCTCTCTTTAAACCATTTTATTTTCCTAAGCATGAGTTAGGATCCCAATCTTTGTCTGCAGTGGCCAAGTAAATATCAAATATCCAAAGACTTCTAGACACTCCACATAGTGTAATTCACACTCCACAAGGTTTATAACCTCCTAACGTAGACTTTTTATTATTGATTTTTTGGTTCAACATTAAAATGTAGTTGCATTTATAGATGGTTGGTGCTAAACTTGCCTCTAAAACAAATAGCCACATTGGTTGTATCTAAGGGGAGTGACCCTAGAATATTACAGAATGCTCAGTTCCACTGATTTATTTAGAATCCACTGTCAAGTTTCTTTGTCACTTTCACCAACAGAGTAGAGTTCACCCAGTCTCTTAAAGCGGGGACCCCAGTCACTGAGGTAGTCAAAATTCTGGTCCGAGTCCGAGGTCGTGGACTCCAAGGAGCTCAGCGAGCCGGCCACGGACCCTCGGCCTTCGTAGCCGTAAATCTGAATGGAGTCATAGGGCGGGGCCGTGGGGTCATTGTCAGCTTCGTGGAGCCGCACGTTTATAAATTCATCCACGTCAACACCATTCGGGACTGGAGCAAGCCCTTGCCTTGGCATGAACTGTAAATCCGGTTTAATGTCCTTACGGGGTAAGAACCCATTAATTCCGTCCGGGTTCTGTAAAGTTGCGATATCGAAAGCCTCCGTGTCTTCCTCGCCTCCTCCTTCGTCGTCATAGCGGATGATGTTTTCTCGGACGTCTTCATCGTCTTTGATAATTAATGGCTCGTTTTTATGTCGCCGCAGAGTTACGAACAGCACCACGATGACTGCAAAAGGGAAAAAAGAAGCAAAGCAGGAAATAACAGCTAAAGTCACATACAATTTTATGAGCAACGCACAATGTAGGTGCAGAGATGGGGTCGGTATTTTAAAACTTATGAGCGTATGTATAGCTTTAATAATGATGACTCGGGAATTGAAGCAAAACACCTTTGTGAAGGATGAGCACTGAATGTTGAGTGAGTACTGTCTGATTTTAATATCAAGAAAAATATCTGAGGAAGACAATGTAATTTTGAAGATATATATATGTACATACACATACACACACACATATATGTGTTGTTTTCTTTTTATCACACTAAACTTTGTGTGAATGGATGGACTCAGAAACCCAATGTACGAACTGTTTAGATAAAAGGGTATTTTGGACATATGGGAACCCTTATTGCAGCAAACTGGGGTACGCCCAAAGTTCTGGAGGTCTTTATTACAGATGCTCTTGGAACCACAGTGAAGCCCATCCCCACTTCTGCCACCATGGTGCTTCATCTATTTTTTGTCGGTGATGGGGTTGCAAAGGGCACCAAACACTCCTCTCCAATTGGGAGATTGACTATCTCATTGCTTTTAATTTCCCTACCTCTTCAAGATCTCAGAGCTTGGGGAAGAACAAGCAAGTTCCTCTTCCCAAAAGAATGCCTTCACCTGGCTTGGTCAAGGTTTGCTGTCCTTAATTCCAAACATTTATGAACCAGAAAAATGGCGACCATTAGGCTATGAAGGAAATACCTACCTAGTAGCAAAATGATGCATGCTAATATGGCAATTAAGGCGCCCATACTGAGTCCAATCGGAAGGACATAAGCTTCGACATTACAAGACTGGACGACGCCGTCCGTGCTGCAGCCACAGACCCGGATGGTCAGGGTACTGGTGCTGCTCAGAGGTGGGTTCCCGCTGTCACTGATAATGATTGGTAAAAGATAGACTTCTTGCTTCTGACGGTTGAATCCATTATGCTTTGCCATAATGCTGAGGGAATTGTCTGGGAAAGGTGAAAATTATGAGAGTTTGCATCATTTCAAAAATGGCCACCCAAACAACACTTGATTTTCCAGTTCATGAATCCTCTGCCAACTGTAAGACAGTCCCAGCTACACTGGTCCCTTCTGCCCATTTCCCCGGTTGGCATGGACCACAACTTCTACACCTTAACAGGCCCAGTGAATGGGGCCCATGATGAACTAATGGAGTTTTACCATCATCTTGTAAATCCAACATATTTCTTTTATTTAAAAAAATACCCTTCTTGCAGAAGACACAAATTACCCCATGTACCATAAGTAAGTTTAATTTTCCCTCATTTATCCTGATTATGCAAAATTGGCTGGAAAGAATATCGCCACATTTGAAAGACATGTTTGAGAAGCTCTGTGTTCAAAGATAGGCTACGTGACAATATGGCATATAAAACTTCTTAGCCACAGATGCCTAAGAAGTCATTCACCCCCCCGAGCATTTATACTACAGTAAAAAGTCCTACTCATTGCCGGTTGGAGGAGATACGACACATATATTAAAATGTTGTGGAGAAGACCTATAGTGATTACACAAGAAAGAATAAAGTGAGAAGTTATAGGAGAAAGTGTTCCATTTTGCACATGTCAATTAGTCAGAGGGACATACATATCGGCTATCTGAAGCAACGCTTAAGGACATTTAAGCAATATTTAAGGGCATACTTCAGTTCAAAGTAAAACTTGTCAGTGAGGTTAGTCCCATGTTAGCCTTATGGTTCTCTAATGTCACCCCAAATGATGTATTTTTTGTTGTCTTCATCTCCAGCTCACAAACTATAGTCACATTACATATATTAATTATTCATCTATTTTTGCATTTTGTTAGTGAAAGACATAGCTATTCAAAATAGAAATATTAATTATCTCATACTGGTTTTCCAGCCAAAAGCAAATAAACATAATTTTGGTAAATATGTGTAATTTTGGGGGGCAAAATGATTATATCAGTTGGAATTTCTTTGCACATATTGGCAAGTTGGCAGACCCCAAAACCTTTGGCTACCTCGCTGTTGTGTATTAAGGGCAGAGATTCCCAACCATTGCTATCCAATTCTGATCATCAGCATCTTATTGTTTCCAGAACAGTCAAATACACGAACATGTAGTCTGCTCAAATGACTTCCAGTCAACACATTAAATCTGCTGTTCCACATAGTGTTACCCCAAGATTTCCAAAAAATGACAGACATTCCCTAAAACAGATGCATGCATTATATTTATTATATTTAGTTTTCTTTGTTTAAGGTATAAATGGCCCTGTAATGCCTTACTATTAAGCAGTCTGACAGAAAAAGACGGTCTTACTGAACATTTTTTTAAAGTTTCTTCTGATTGTGCTTCATTAATTAGAAATTTGAAGATTGAAAAGGAGTCTCTAATAGAGTTAAACAGTGATATACCAAATGGTCCAGTGATCTCCATTTCCATGACCTAGAAGGAAATACCACTAAGCTAAAAAGAGAACATTATCTCAAATCCAACGTGGAATACATAGCTGTGTCCAATTTGCAGAGAATGTGTGACGAGTTTGAGTATAGTTAATTAGTGCCAGGAACATGTGTGGATGCTTTTCTATACTATAGTCCAAAACAGAAGATGGGGGTTGTTCTTCAAGATAAAATGAATAAAATGACAACTCGGCTTTTTTCTTTTTGGTGACTGACATTATTTATATGAGAAAACTATCTCCATATTCTCCCTTGAGAACAATCTATAATGATAATTTAGAAAGTGCAGCAGGAATATTATTCTTGCAGAACAAAGCTATCTCCTTTGTTATGTAGAGAGGGCATAGTGGGTCTAATGCTAACCACATACCCACATGCATCTTTTACTACTGACATCTGCATATATTGTTCTAGAAACATTATTGATTGCGTAAAGGTAGTCTATGCGTCAGTTTTGCTAAATTTCCCCTGCTACCTCCAGGGAAAGTCAACTCCTTATTTGCCAACTCGCTTTTGTAAAAAAACTATTTTTTGATTGGTGTTTGTATTTATTAATGATTTAGTTATTTCATTAGACCCAATACAATTGCCATTATTGTATACATAAGGAAATCATCAGATACCAGCACATTTTAAATTCACGTATTTAATTATTGATTTTTTTAGAGGAAAACTATTTAACATCCCTAAATGGCCCTGAAGGCAAACAGCAAATCAAGAAACATTAGTCAACACTTAATCAAGAAACTCTACTTGAGCTGGGGAAGAACGTGGGGCCTGTGGTGTGTGGATCAGAACCCACCCCCTTCCACCCCTTCTCCCAACTCTGTGAGGTGGATACTGCCTTCCAAACTAGTGCAGCCAAGAACCCAGGGCTTCCTCTCCCACAACTAGCAGTTAGAAGACTATCTTAACAGGAGAGAAAAGATGTCAGTGGTTCCTATCCTGTTCCTGCCTACCTGTTGCTGAAACTACATTCTGGGTCAGTGTGGCCAAGGTATGGGGCTCCTTTTTATTTCATGGCACCTACCTGCATAACAGAGGCTCTATCTGGGCACAACTCCATTGAGAATATAAGGGAGAAACACAGGGCCCCAACTACCGTTGCCCTGGCCTTTAAGGCAGTGGTTCCGCCCTGGGAAGGGCAAGTCAGAAAGAATTGATGCTGCTGTCCCCCAGCACTAAGTGTTTGCTCCTAAAGTCGAGGTATCATGCCAAAAAATACATATAGTCTCTATCTAATTCAGTTCCAGAACCAGTGGCTCAGGGTCCTGCCTCAATGGAGGGGCAGAGAAGTTGGGAAGGAGATGAGGAGTCTACCTCTTTCATAACCAACGTGGACCACTGATCAAGGGAGATGCTTGTTTGAAGAGGCCCACATTTGATTACATTCATCTGTAGAACCATTTAGGCCCCCTAAATGGAAAACAATTCAGAAATAATCTGGCAGTTCGTGAGGCTTAACAACTGGTGTGTGGTCAGGGAGAGAGACAAAGAGAATTCTGCCCAACCACCGTCATTCCAGGCTGACGGGAGGCGTACCCAAGGCTGGGGTCTCACTGCAGAGGGGAAAATAACTCCTCTAAAACAACCCGGCCAGTCATTAATCAAATAAACAAATAACAATAAGAAGCCCTGTGTTAGGGGGGCTTTAATATCTAGATTTACTAAAGTATATTGTCTCCAATGCCCCCCCAAATGACAAGACACAAAGAAGCAGAAAAATATGACCCATACACAATAAAGAAATAGACAAAAAGAAATTGTCCATGAGAGTAGCCAGATGCCAGATTAATCACAGATTTCTAAGGAGTCGTTATAAAGGTGTTCGATGAGCTAAATCAAGCTCTGATTAAATAAGGAAAGGAAGGTATGATTACAATGTCACAGCCAACAGAGAATATCAATAAATTGATAGGAATTGTTTTTAAAAAGAACACAATGGAAATTCTTGAAATTCTATTATTCTGGAAATAATAGGACCAGCCATGCTTCAAATGACAATATGAGATGAAGAGGACAATGTGAAATGAAAAATTAATTAGGGTGGCTAAACAGGACATTTGAATTGGCAAAAGAAAGCACTGGTGAATGTGAAGATAGCTCAGAAGAAAATATGCGAGACAAAGAATGGAGAGAAAAAGGAATGAAGAAAAATAAACAGAGCATCCAAAACACGTGGGACACCACGAAGTACACTACTAACATACGTGCAATGAGAGTGCCAGAAAGGAAGAAATAGAATGTGACTGGAAACTTCAAAAATTTTTGAAACATTGCCCTAGCTGGCTCAGTGGATTGAGGGCTGGCCTACAGATCACGTGGCCGCTGGTTTGATTCCTGGTCTAGGGCAGGTGCCTGGGTTACAGGCTTCTCCCCAGTGGGTGTGGGGGGTGCGAGAGAGGCAGCCACACGTTGATGCTTCTCTCCCTCTCTTTCTCCCTCCCCTCTCCTCGCTAAAATAAATAAATAAAATCTTTTTTTTAATCTGTAAAAACAAGAAAAAATATTTTGAAACATTTGTCTACATGTTCAGAGAGCTCGATGAACTGCAAAATGGTAAACACAAGGAGATTCACAGATACATTACAGTAAAAGAGCTGAAAGTCAAAGACGTGAAGAAAATCTTAAAAGCAAGAAAAAGTGGACCTATCGCATCCAAAGGAACCCCAATAAGATTGAAAACTGATTTCCTAAAGAAACAATAAAGGCCTGAAGGTCGTGGGATAACATATTTAAAGTGTTTAAAGCCAAAGCTTTTAACCAAGAAGTATAGATTCAACAAGCTATCTTTTAAAAAAAGGATATGACAAGCTCAGATTTTTTAAAAAGTGGGAAAACTTGTACCTAACTGAAATGCCTTATAAGAAACACTAAAAGAAGTTCGTCAGACTAAAAGCAAATAAGTATAGGTGATAATTCAAAATCACATTAGAAAAAAGAGCTTCCAGAAAAGTAACTATGTAACTATATAAGGCAGCTTAAATACATATTTTTTCTTCTTAAGTGTTTTAAAAATCAACTGTATGAAATAATATACACAATATTATATTTATGTATATTATACTAATATACATAATATTATATTTAATAATCAACTGTATGAAACAATATATACATAATATATTGTTGAGTACAAAATATCTAGAAATTCCATACTCATAGTTGAATAACCCAGTATCCCACTTTCAATAATGAATAAAACAATGAAGCAAAAAGGACACAGAAGACTTTAACAACAGCATAAATCAGCTATGCCGAACAGATGTCTACAGAACCCTCTACCCAGAAAATTTTCTTCTCAAGTACACATGGAACATTATGCAGTATAGACCATGGACTAGGCCATAAAAAAACTTCAATAAATTTAAAAGAATACAAATAATATTAGGTATGTTCTCTGACCATGTGAAATAAAATTATATGTTCATATTTAAAAATTTTGGAAACTCATAAATATATGAACACTAAATGATGTACTTCTCAATAACCAGTGTGTCAAAGAAGAGCTCAAAAGG